CCACAAGTGAATGAATGCACTTTGCTGCATCTCTTAGGACTACAAAGTGCTTTGAGGTCTTATGCGATTATATCAACTTCTTCAAGGAGGGCACCAAGGAGGAGGTGCTGATCTCCTTCCTTTGGTGACCAGCAATAGGACACGAGGAAATGGAAGCTTCATCAGGGGGAGTTCAGGCTGGGTATTAGGAAAAAGTTCTTCACTAAAGGATGGTCAGTCACCAGAACAAACTCCCCAGGGAAGTGGTCATGGCACCAGGGCTCAAGGAACATCTGGGCAGCACTCTCTCATGCAGTTTAGGTTTAGAAAGGCCTGTGAGAAGCAGAGAGTTGGACTCGATGATCCATATGGGTCCCTTCCAACTTGAGATAGTCTGCGATTCTGTATTATACACTGCAGAATCTAATTTTTCATAATACAAGGCACGTTGGCAATTTTAAACTAAATAATATATTACTTCATTGCATACAGTTTTCTGTCAGGTTTTTTCAGTAATGTTGACTGTTACATCAGTTTAACTCATGTTGAGGAGCAAAGTGTGCTTTAAAGCAAATGAAGTTCATCTGCATTAGGATTAGTAGCTGCAGCAACAGAGAACTGTCCTGTGGGTGGTGGTAATGCTACGTCAACGAAGGCTTGAGCTAAACAATCTTTCTGACATGGCTGACTGACACATGGAAATATTTTCTGAGTACCTAAGTCAGATGAATAAAACAGGCTGTTTCTGTAGCTGTGCACAGGATCTGTATATTTTTTTTCCCTAGGGTGTGTATTCATGAGGTGAAATATAGTATGTGCATATACATTTTGTATTTATATTAGGGAAGAAAACTCTTCCGAAGGACTCACAGGTAACAATATGACTTTCCACTTCTCAGGAATGCTTGATGGTCCGCTGGTTTTCTATTGCTTATATTTGTCTTACTGTTTTAAAATTATTTTACAACATGAAGTCTTCTCATTTGAAAGTTTTTATTGCTTATTGTGATTTTTTTAAATTCATTCCCCATGGTGCTTAGCTATACTTCATCATTGGAAATTCAAGAATTTCACAGAGAATTGGAAAGCTGTGGCTTATTTTAAATGATACAGCTTTGTTTCATTAAAAAAGAAAAAGTCATAGAACTTAATAATTATTTTCAGTGTCCAGATTAAGAAACCTGGGTACTGAGCTTTTTCAGCAGGCATATGGCTTAAATTGGGCACCCAAAATCAAAGGATGGGAAATGATTAATTTGGAAAATCTTGGCCTGTTTTTAGTTGAAAGAGTTTGGGTTTTATTTTTCTAAATCGGAAGCCTGATTTTGATTTTGCTTCCTTTCCTGTAATGTATTCCATTGTAACAGTACTTAAACACTCTTGTTAGATTTTTTCTTCTTTTTTATGTGTCTTTTTTATTATTTGATTTGAGGGTGACTGAGAGTAAACATCATCTGAGATGAGGTAGTTTTGCTTTTCTTAGTTTTGTTATTGTTTCTGTTGGTTTCAGTGATATCCTTCTTTTAAAGCTCCATCTCACTGAACATGAACTGGTTCTACAATTCTTATTAGGATCACCACCATTCTTTCTGTAGTCCCATTTTGAAAAGATGTTTCAGTAAGAGTATGTACTTATGGTTATATTTAAAGGCCTGTATCTCTCAGAAATTCATGTGGTCATGATGAGAACTCCATGTACACATTGCAAATTGGTGTTTACTCAGTTGCTCTACATGCTAGCACTAATGCTTTCTAGAAAACACTCATAAATCTCTACGCTTTTGCGTAATTAATTCCTTTTCTTTTTGCTGTCTTTAATCGTGTGCAGTTTGAGTTCTAATAAAAATACTATTACAGATGAAGGGTTTCTTTACAACTTTACTATCCCTTTGAAAGGGCTATATTCTGTATATGTGTGTAATTATATCCAGAAGAGTTAAAAGAACATTGAGTTTACAAAATGAATCTCTCAAACTGAAGGAATTTCAGGGCTTTGTTTCTTTCTGCAGTCCTGATTAGCTGCCTTGGGTACATATGAAATATCTTTATTTTCCTATTGACTGTTTCCTCATAGGATGTACCAGTTGTAGTGTGCTCACTTAAGAAACATACTAATTGTGTTCTATTTTATTATTTCAGTTCATTTTATTGTCCAATTATGCACATTGTTCAGTAGTGGCATGAAGATGAAATAGTTCTATAACAATCATCAGAAGTATTTCGGTGTTCAGAATAGCAACAGAAATGTCTTGCTGAGCAGTGAATTGGGTGATTCTGTTAATGAAGCTTCTGAGGTCTGTTGACATTAAAAATATGTGTGTGCATATTTAAATACTTTTAAATATTGTTTGCATATATAAGAACATGATTTTCTGACTTCAGCTTTGAAGACTGAAAGTTATCTGACAGAGAAAAAGGAGAATTCTTTACAGAATCACAGTATGGATTCTTCACAGTTTCACAGAACTTCCATAGTGCAAATGTACAAGAGCTATGGGCTTATATATGCAAAACCTCTTACGTAATTATAAGTATTATAGAAGTGAGAATTGTCATTTGGTACCATGGGCATTGAGATAAGACGAGATGTGTGTTTATGCATCAAATGACTGTAAGCCTTTTAGATTTATAGATTGCAAGTTTCATGTGACCTTCATAGTCTATGTAGTTAAACAGTTGGGGAAATTTTAGGTAATGACATAGATAGCCGTATTATTTGAAAAGTTTGTTGCCCAACTTTTGTTGCTTTTTGACAACAGAGGTATAGAGTGATAGTTGTATCCTTGCACTTGATTCAAGGCCAGGTTGGATGGGGCTTTGCTCGACCTGGTATAGTGAAAGGTGTCCTTGCACATGGCAGGGGGGTTGGAACTGGGTGATCTTTAAGGACCCTTCCAACTGAACCTATTCTGTGATTCTATGAATTCAAGTTTCCAAACAGTATGACAGTTATGAGGATTGATCTGAGTATTGCAAGCACTAAGTAATTTCCATCTTTTAAACTGTTTAGGAAAACTTCAGCTTATCTCAAAATATCTACCTAATATATTAGAACTGCAGTAATTTTGGTTCAGACATGAGAAGGTGGTTGTCATTACTGTTTATCCTTATAATTACTCCTTTCCTTGAAATAAGTATTTTGTTTGAAAACATTATGTACCCTGTGGAAGTTATCTACTTCATATTTATTTTGATGAAGCTTGTGACTTTATTAATATTGTTGTCTCTTATCTAACCAGTGATTACGGTAGCACAAACCAGTTTCCCCAGCAGGTGAATCTAGGTTTACAAGTTTTTAAAAAATAATTAATTCCACTAATCTTAATTCAGGAGTTGAATAAGAATTCTCATATGGAGTTGAATGTGTAGGGCTAACACAATTTCATTTCTGCATTGACTTAGCCGTACTTTCTATGTTTATTTTGTTGGACAGATAGAAACGTTTATTGTACAAGCTGAGTTGGTGCCAACATAATATTTCCAATAAGTTGTTTAATCACTGAACAAGTCTCCTTCCAAACTGGGCAATGCGCCCATTGCCAGTGTGCAGCACTGGGTTAGAATAACTTAACAATTATACTGGATGTGTTTAAAAAGCATCCTGACTCAAATCAGCTGTAACCGTTGGACAAGGTAGTTAAGTATGCCAGTAATTTTTTAACATCATCAGAAAAGGACTTTCCTTTTTTTTTTTCCTTGGTCTTTGGAGGCCATCAGCACTTTCTCACACTAATAGAAATTTGTTTAGCACCAATGAAAATTTGCTACCATTGCAATTTTTCCCAGCTCCAGTTGGCTTACATTGCAAAAAGCAGAGCTTAGTGTTGAACCTACTATTTTTTATTTTTTTTTTGGGGGGGGAGAACTCAAAGCACTGACTAGCCATGTGCCACATAATTTGAACATATATATTATAAAGAGATGTGTTCTTGATCATAGTTTTGTTATGAGTTCGGGAGAAAATACTGAAGCAATCAGAGTTGTTTGTGATCTGTGCTTAACGTATTTCTGAAATACAGAAGAAACATTCTTCCCTCTCAATGTGGATAACATACCAGATATGAAGCTAGTGTATCATTCTGCTTTCTAAACAGTAAATTAAAGAGCTGTCTCTACTACTTGCATGATGTTTTGGGGAAATCTTGCAATGAAAGAATCTGTCTTTTATTCCAAAATCAGAACTCCAGATATAATTATGGAGAAAAGGGCTGAGGAAGCAAAGCTAGTCTATTTTGTTTTGATTGGACTAAAAGTTTAGACTTCAGTTTTCTGCGGTCAGGAGGCCGAGATTAAAGGGTCTGTAATTAGTTTCAATACTCCATGTGTCTTAATGCCCAGAAAGGCCAAACCCTGTCTGCAGGCAGTGGTAGTTGCCAGGATCATCAAAAATAATTCATAGATGCAAGTGAAAAGGAAATTATGCATGCTTTCTGAAATAGTTTGTTCTTACTTGCTCTGTCTTGTTTCTGTAAAAAGAAAGGAGAGGAAATCCTTCAAAATATCTAGTAAACAAGTAGAACTTGAGGTTGAAAAAAAAAAGTTTTACTTTTGGAAACAGATTACCTAGGTCTTGTAGGTAGTCCTCTATAGTCAAGTCATGTTTCATTAGGTTTTTCTTTTGATCCTCCTGTTTTCCTTACACTAGGTATAGTGGTACTCAAACCAAAATAGGCTCTTACATGTCTGTGTTTTTTATAGGTATGTGTGTGTATGAACAAAGCGAAGATTTCTGTTACATAGTCACAAGAGGGCAGGTGCACCTTTTGAAAATAATAATAATGAAGGGGTTTGTTTCAGAAATTTTCACATTTAGGTTAATAGTAATGAGCAAAACAAAGCATTCTTTTGGCTGAATTAACAGTTGAGGGTAATGCTCAAGAATGAGTTTGGTGTTGTTGACCTTCTGGAAATGAAGTGACGTACTTGAGAGTTCCACTCTTCCCCAGTCCAGTTGCCCAGTGCTAGGGCTGATGGGGGAAGCATGCTCTGGACCATGCTCAGAGTGCTCTTCTCTTTTACAGGCAAGTTAAAGATCAAAATAAGAAAGTAGCAAATCTGAAGCACAAAGAGCAAGTGGAGAAAAAGAAGAGTGCACAGATGCTGGAGGAGGCCAGGAGACGAGAGGATAATCTTAATGACAGCTCCCAACAGCTTCAGGTAACATGGGTATTGAATTAAAGCAATATGGTCATTCAGCCAGGCTTAACTACCTTGCTTTCTGCTGCACCTTCTGATCCATTTTCACAGCTGTTATCTGAGAAATTTGTACTGATTCTTTAAGAACACACATCTGTCCCAGAGCATTTCAAAGAAAGGAGCCTCTATCATCTTCATAGCTTACTCCATTTTCATAAAAAGGGAAATAGTTTTGCTTGCCTACTTGGTTATGAAGTGCATTGAACTAATTTTATCTTTCCAGTATTCAGAGTGGTGTGGCTTTTCTTTCTTCACTGCTCTTCTAACAGCCTTTTTCTTTAGCTGTTTTGTGTATTTTCCCAGCTGGTTTTACCTTATATTGATGCCTTCAGTAAATGAAAGATAAGCAAGTAAGTATTCTTACAATAATTTGGAATTATTGTGGGGTAACTGGAGAACTACACTTTGGGTGTTTACTCATACTTCTCTGACAGTGAAACGCTACTTTGCCTCATGAGTTCTTGGTATGCTTGCTAGACAGTTTACTTTATTTCTGAAATGATAATGTCCTGCTGCCTCACAGGATTAGCTGGTTACCTCAGATCTGCCCAGGTACATGAAAGTCACTGATACAAAAGCAAGTCAGATATTTCTCATTGTGCTATATGTTGATATGTAGATGGTTTATCAAACGGTAAGTTTTCAAGTGCTGTCATAGAAATGTTGAACTACTGCCATGAAGTAAAGCAAAAATACCGTGATGCTAATTGAGGAGATAGTAGATATTTTGCCTGTGATTTCTTTAATTTACAAAACTAACTTTCTTTTTGGTGAGTGAAAAAAAGCATGGAAACAGTAATCTACCTGTGCACTTTTTTAAAAATATTTTTAAAATCTTCAGAGAGAAACCCTTTTCTTAGGTATTTTGCTTTGTTATCCTAGGTTAAATCCTGTTTCTTGTTACCAGCTACATTTCTTAATACATCTACAGTGAAGACACAGAATAAATCCTAATAGTTCACTAGCAAAGATAAATCCCCTGCTTAATTTAAACAGATACTTCTTTACTCTGTTCTATGGAATTCCAGGGGGATGGTTTCAACTCTGTAAGATCTTTTGAAAGAACCACAGAAACATGTGTCCATATGGAATGCTCTCACATGCACCATTTTGTGGTTTTCCCCCTCAATTCCAGTTCTTTACATTCAGAGCACTGATACAGTTGAGTTCCAAGTGTATGAAAATGATTTCATAACTACAGACTTTTATAAAAGGCGGGGATGCGGGATTTCTACATCTGCTAATGGGTTTTGTGACGTAATGCTACGGCAATCCACAGGCTCTTGTTATGTGGGAGATTAAGTTTAAATAGCACAATCCTCCTGGTATTAGTTAAATGTTTTTAAAAGATCCTAATACAATATTTGGTTAGATTTCTAATCTGTGTTTGAATAAATCTGTATCTGAAGTTTGAGAAAGTAAGTGATACTTCACATTTGCCTTGCAATTATGTGCATGCTGTATTAAGCAAATGACACTGTTCCACAAGACCATATTCTTGGGGTTTATGTAGCACTTTCAAATTTTAAAAGGTACGGCTTTCATTTTGGGCTTTTTTCCCCACAGTTATTCTTCTCCTTTTCACTTTTCTTTTTTTGAGACAAATGGAATGCCTTTAAAAAAGCCTGAAATCTGATTTCTCTCAGCTCCTATGTGCATACTAAAAATTGCTGGGTTTGGTTTTTGATTTATTGTTGGTTTTATTTTGTAAAAAGCTGTAAGTTATGTAATGTGTTTGTACAATTGCGCGTAGCAGTGGACAGACAGTGGTACTTTGGCTACAGATTACTTCAAATCCCATTAAAACTATTTAACACCAGTTTCTGATAATCCAGAGAGGTTGTACAGCTTTGGTGGCAGCAGTGAGGCATCTTTTGCTCAGAAATTAGATGGCAAAAGTTGGTGCTGCTTTGTATCAGAGTTCTTTAAGAATATGTATCTGTTCTTGCAATGTCCTGTCCAATTCTTTACTCATGAAGTGTTTTAGCTATAGAAAGATCATAGATATAAAACTGTGAATTCCATAGTTAGCATAATTTTACTCTAAATATTTTGTCTTTTATAATTTCAATGTAACCACCTTATCCCTAGGAACAAGAAACAGCTAACCAATTGTCTCTTTTGAGGAAGCCAGGTTGCTTGCTATTTTACTCTTTTTCTCCAGTTTTACTTTGTTGTAGGCTGGTGGTCTAATAGGGAAACTAAAATTAGGTACAAAGATGTCAAAGTGTATAATTTTATTATATTTACCTTTTTACATTCAGGTTTTGCAATTAGTGATACATATACAGCAGTATACTTACTTTGTTCTTCTTTGCTTGTGTTTTATTATGCACTGGTGTCTCTTATTTTCTGTATAATTTATATGCAAGTATTTCTGAGATTAAAAATAGACATTATTAAATGCATGTAAGAATTTAAGATTGAAGTGTAATGTGATAGTCAACATTGAAATATGTCAGCTACCATAGTATTAATATTTGTTTTTGCCTAGTGGCTTTCCTGCTTTTGTGAATCTAATTGTCCTGTTTGGGTGGGCTCAGTTTTAGAGAGTCTTTCCCCATATTCAAAACAAGGCTGAAGGGAATGCTTTCATTCGCAGATGAAAAAGGTCTGTATGCGCTAATGAAAATATCAGGCTAAGGTAAAATATGGAGTGTTTAATGACAAGTGACAGGTTCTATAAAAACTCCTTCCTGTAGAAGAGCCCTCTGCTTACGGCCTCCCTCTCTGCAATGTTTTAGTTTCCTGGAAGTCAAATTTAGCCAGGACCACATTTCAGTTTGTTAGTTATGGAGCCCTGTCTTCTCCATCAACTCTAAAGGGCACTCTGCCTTCTAATCAATAAAAAAAATAATAAATTTAAACCTGAGAGGAACATGGATTTTTAAAATTTTTTTTATGGAACCATTGTTGGCTTTGGGGTCAGGACGCACAAGCACCAATTTCAGATAATTTTGGTCTTGGTGGTTTTGGCTGGAATTAATAATAAGACAGTATGAAATGCTTAAAAATATATGATCTGCATGTTCTTCGGTTGACCGTCTGCAATCCAGTCAAATAAACACGCTCCCAAGCACATCCTCCACTCCTCCTCACTCTGTCCCTAACAGGCATGTGGTTTCTTTCTTCCTGAGTCCAGTAACAAAATGTTCGTTTATTCAGAGAGCTCTGATGATGGAAATTTGGTATTTTGGGGAGTGGGGGAAGAATGAAAACCATAATGTCTCAATTCTAGTGAGATGGATAAATGGCTTTCCAAATTTGTCTTTTCCTCCTGGGTTCCCTTAAACCACAACTCTCCAGAGATCTGAGAGGTTAACGAGTGTCTGGTCTATAAGCAGGATAAAAAAAAACAAGCTGTTGGACTGGAGTAAAAATTTTTTGCTTCAAGTAACTAATGCTTGGCTATTGTGAAAAGGAATTGATATGCTGTCTTGTCCTAGAAAGGTAGCATTTACTGAAATTTCGTGATATTTGAATGGGTACTTGGAACTGTCATCTGGAAGGTAGCATGCATATTTTCTTGTTCTACCACTCCAGCATCCTCCAGAGTTTTTAGGAGACATTTTCAGAATACCTTGTGGCATGGAGTTGTGTCCTATTGGATCCTATTGCATTTCAGCAGCTATCCATCCGTCTGTAATTGCTGATGACAAACTGTATGTCTATAAGTTGTGTAAAATGTATTTGAATGCTTTAATGAACAGCTGTAAAACCAAGTAAACTTACTAATTTTTTTTTTGTTCTTTTTTCACACCCAAGTTTAGATAATTTAATATATAATCCTATTCTGTGAACTGTATGCAAGTATATGTAGATTGTTCCTTGTGGTGATATAATTCTTCTGTCTTCTATTCTTCTATCTTCTGTCTTTTGACCTTTGAATAGCAAAGATATCCTTCTAGTGGAAAGAACTAAATTTTCATTCTAAACAAATGTACAGTTATTTGTTTCATAAAATTATTTTACTGGGATCTGGACATAGCTCAATGAAATCTATAGGCAGCCAAATACCTTCTCATCAAATGAGCTTTCTAAATTCATTAAATGTCAACCAAAATCTGGTCTTAAATTACTGAAAAATTTCCTCTTTATATGCTATGATTGGTTCTTGAGGGTAGGGTGGCTGAAGTTTTTTCATCTGATCTGTTTATGATAATACCATGCTATGATGAAAATGGTGGTTTGTCATCTTTGGGCTGTTAGTAAAGAGAGATCTTGCTTCCCAAATTAACCCATGAACTTGGATTTGGACAGCGTGTGCAAAGCCTCTGAAGAAATGGTTAGATTGAAAGAAAGTTTTCTAAACTTGAAGTTCAAGATCTCCTCCATAACTTCCTAGCCATTATCAGCTTTGAAGCAAATTGGTTATGCTATCTAAGTGGTGCTATATGTTTCCCTGGGATAAGTGAATTTTAAGTGCTGATGAGTTTCTGATTAATTTTAGTTTCATATAAACCACTGCAATATCAGATTCCAGCCTTGCCCTCCAGCTGTGTGAACTTTCGTTATCCCTTGGATAGCCCAGCTCAACACGATAAGGCCCATGAAACTGTCAGCTACTCCATATCAGCCTAGTAGAAATGTATTCTTTAATGCCATCTTCCATCTGCAGGATTTATTCCAGAGAACAGTCTGATGCATCAGACCTGTATTTTCTCATTGAGCTCAGATCCACCTTTCGTAATTATTCAGATCAAAGCATTCTTTTTCTCTCCCTTACTCTCCCAGTACTTTTTAGACCTCAATTACATCAGGGAGATGTTTCGGCCTCCTTCTCCCTGGATAATTCTTTGTGCTACCCAGCCTTGTAGGTGTCAGTGTTCCTTGGGCCTTGGGTGTCATTGGTTCCTTGGGTGTCATTAGCACCTTCACAGGTGGCTATAATTTCACCAAATGGTATATTCAGTTCTAGGTGAACCTCCTTCTGCTGTGTAGGATGGAACTCATGACATAAA